AACCTGGGGTAGAGTGAGACTGGCTGGCGACGGCTTATAACTCAGAAGTGACCATGCGAGCCTCGCTTGTCTTTTTTTAACACTCTCTTCGTTTTCATGCTGGTCCCCCTCAGTGATAATTGTTCATAAGAAAACAGGATCAGTGATATGTGGCCAAGGGCAAACCAATGGGCTCTCTGAGGCGGTCCTATAACGGTTGGAGTCGCTGGTTTTTCGACACCGCAGACCGAAATTCTGGGCTCGGTATGTGGATGATACCTTCGTCGTCGAAGGGGATCAGGTGCTGGAATTCAATGAACACCTCAACGCCGTCTTCCTGGACATACTGTTTACGATGGAGGAAGAGGAGAACAACCCGCTGGCCCTTCTTGATGTCCTCGTCTGATACAAACACGACACAAGTACTGAGTCACAACAGCAACCACCTAATCAGTCACAAAAGCATTTGAGTAAGGACGATATTCCAGCGTGTGGAGACAGACTGCAGTGAACCGTAAGACAAGGTTGATAAGCCTAACAACTACATCCTATAAATACTGCAACACCTGGCAGTTCGCTACCCTTATCTGACTCTGTCTCTGATGATGGGTTCGAGTGATAGTCCGAAGCGTCAGGCTAATAAAGCTCTTGTTCCAACCATCATCTCTACTTCTTTGCGACTACTTCCTGGGGCTCGCCTCTTCGCTCCTCTTAGCACAGTGTGTAGGTTTAATGACCTTCTAATGCCCGTTGGTTCATACGCAAGTAAAAGGAATTACAAATAAGGACAACTTATAAATCTTAACTAGACTGTTTGGAATATGCCAGTGGTGACAAACTTTGGTAATAAAATCAAAAATACCTCGAACAGTTAAGTGCTGCTAATATTTTATGTGAAGCGTCTTTATGTTCATTTCGAAATGGACATATTCCGGCCAAATCTCATTTCATACTCCCAATTCCCGCTTCTTTGTATTGCATAGAGTTTTGTATTCTACAGATTCTTTACCATAACCGACATTACTGTTTACCTATCATCTAAACTGCTCTCTCTCTCCCCCTCTTTATACCCCAAAATGGGTAAACAGGTTTCGAAGAAGAAGAAAAAACGAAAGAAGAAAACGCACCCAGGAAAGAGCCAAAGTGCTCCACCCGAGGAAGGCGACGACGCGGACGAGAGTGAGGAGAACGAGAGAGCGGGCGACATCCTTGCACTCCTTGGCGGCACGTCGAAACCAACAGCTGACGGTGGCGTCGCCGGAAAAACTGGTGCCTCTGCTACCAGCCCATTTAGTTCCAGTGGTAAAACCGGAGCTAGCGGTCCCGGCGGGGCAAGCGATACCAAAGCTGGCAGTGCTACTGGAGGTGGTGCCGGCGGTAGACCTGTAGCTGGTGGTCGAGCTGCAGACGGCAAGGGTGGAGCAGAAGCCGATGGCACGAGTGGAGCTTCAAAGGCTGGTGCACGCGGTCGTCCAGGAGCTGGTGGAGGTGCTTCGGGAGCCGGCGGAGGTGGTTCAGGGGCCGGGGGTGGAGTCGGTGGTGGTGGCACCGGCGTCCGTGGTGCAGGTTCAGGACCCGGTAAGGGTGGTTCGGGAGCCCGTGGTGGTGGTTCGGGAGCCGGTGGAGCTGGTACGGGAGCCGGCGGAGGTGGTGGTTCGGGAGCCGGTGGTGCGGGTTCGGGACCCAGCGCTAGCGGAGCGGACGGTTCAGCTGCAGGTGGACGCGGTTTAGGAACCGACGGCAGCGAAGCCGACGCGTCAGGTGCCAGAAGTGGAGGAAGCTCCGCCGCCGCGATGGGTCGGGGTTCATCTCTTGATGGCGCAGACATGTCAGGAGCAGATGGTGCCGGTGGACACGGCTCTAAGGCCGAAGATGGTACCCATTCGTTAACCGGAGGACGGGATTCGGGAGCCGATGCCTCAGGGGCAGGGACTCCTGGAGCTGGTGGTATCTCTGGACGTGGTTCCTCAGCTGCCAGCGGAAGTCGTGCAGACGGAGCAGATGATACTGCTGACGCATTTAAAATCGCTAAAACCGATGATAATGGTAGGATCAGCAGACAGAGTGATACCTCGGGTGCCCATTCAAGGGCTGCCAACAGCGGCGCACATGAGTCTCTCACTGGAATGTCTTCGACGGTGAAAATATTTGGCACACCTCCGCCTGGCTACCAGGATACTAATATCGTCGAAGAATCTATGGGCGTGGTGGTTGAAAACGGGCGTAAGGTCTCCAAAATGGATATCTCCGTGCACTCAATCAGGTCAAAGGTCAATGACGACACGGTGCAGGAGCTGTCCGAGGCTCTGGAAAACGACAGAGGACAGACGTCAGCAGGCGGTGTACACAGTCTGCAGACTGTCAGTGAGACAGAGGGCGAGCTAGACGAAAGTCACCTGCTCAAAGACATGCCTGATTCTCAGCCCATGAGAGCTAAACAAAGCATGGACTTGGGAACCACTCCTGGCAAACGAAGCAAAGCGGCAGATTCAAGGGGCATGGTGACTGTATCGCTGAGCGTCTCCTCCCATAAGGGTTCGATCACTTCCGAAATAAGCGTCTCCGTCAAAAATTCCACCAGATCTTCCCCCGGCAAGCCGCAATCTGGTTTAGATGTTTCAGTGACGTCCGCGACAGAAGAGCCCGAATCCATGCATGAGTCAGCCGACCCACTACCTCCTGAAATGCCCCAGAATGATACAGTGGAGGTTCTTGAAGTGGAGGCAGAGCAAAACGTCGTTGATACTGTCGAAGAGGAGCCTAAGATTTCTGTACGTAACAGCAGGACTACTGAATCAAGCAGTCTGCAGCAGAGAGTATCTGCGACGAAGGAGGAGAGCGGTGAGACACTCATTGCCGCGACTACAGCTGATCTGCCGGCAAACTCAGAAACTCAGCCACTGGTTCAGAATGCCGTTATCTCCGAAGAAACTAAGGAGGCCAAAGACCCAGGAGAAGAAGTCCTGGTGACGTCAGGCCCCGAAAGAGTCTCCACTGTTCCGTCTGTAGCCGAACCTGTAGAAGAGAAGAGGGGTGTGGAGTGGACAGATCTGAATCCTGTTGATGAGAGTAATCACACCAAAGAAATAAAGAGAATGTCTACAGATAGTGCCCAAGATAGTGCGGAACCGGCAGCAGTGAATCCACCGCCAAAAATGAGCGAAACAGCCCCCGAGACATCTGTGAACATAGTCGCCAGCATTCGCTCCTCCGAGATCAGTGTGCATTCAGAATCAACGGTTACTGTGGGCGCGGCCTCAACGCAGTTATTGAAGGGTGACTTGAGTCCGTCTGTGGCCGAGCCACCCGATATGTTGGAGCCAGCTCCGGTTCGCCAGGGAGAGGTCTCCGCTGTCCTCAGTGATAGGCCATCCTCCAGTTTGGAGAGTGTCTCTGGTCAAACAAAAACTGCCTCAGAGCACGTTCGTTCACAATCGGAGCCTGCTAGTCCTCGGCCAGGCAGGAAACGTCGGAAGCACAAGATAACTGTGGACGTGGATATTAGTTTCAATACGTGTGGCAAGTCCTCAGTCAGCAGTCATGGCGGCAGTCGGAATGTCAACAGTTGCCTCGGCGGACCTCTCTACACGGAGAACAGCGACAACTTCGTCTCAATTGTTGTACGTCGGCAGGACAAAGAGCTGTTCTCTCGTGAGAAGTCGCTGGAGATCTCTGATCCAGACGACTTTCACACAGGCCTGCCTGTCGACTCGCCTGTGGATATATCCTTTTCAAGGGATTCACTAAAACAGGAAAGCGCGGACTGCAGCGATAACCGGATGTCCCTGCATGTAAGGTATACACCTTCACCGGTGCAGAACAGGAGAGAACCATCACCAGGTGTCAAACAAGTGGCCGCGAGTAATCAGTTGTTTGTCTCTATCGTTGATAACAACCCGCCGGTAAATATCGCTGTCTGCTCTCCCAAGCACAGACCGGCGGAAGAACCGATATCCCTAAAGGTACCAAGTAATGTGACCCCTGAAGCGAATACTGGTAGGGGTTTGTCTGCGGAAGCTGCCAGTAATATTCCCGGCTCGTGTGACTTTAACACCGCTAATCTGCAGGAGGACATATCCGCCACCATGGAGATCGTGGAGGAGACCTTGCATAGGAAACTGGGCAGGGCTCAGAGGATTGCCAAAATTGTCAACGAGGTCGGGCTGACAGAGGGAGAACGTGTAGAAGCTGAAAATGCGGAGGTTGGTCCGCGCAGTCGACATGTGGCCAAGGTCATCACTGACGTTAATGTGGTCGCTAAGAAGGCTCGTATCGTGCGAGAGGAGGATCGTGAAATGAAAATCCACACAATACTCTATGACATAAATAAGACGCTTCAGATTCGGCCGGTCAACGGAGACCAAGATGGAGCTGCTAAGAAGCCAAAGGAGAATAAGGAGGGTAACAATGCCAACGAGAGCACAATTCAGGCATTGGGTTGTGAGCCTGGCAATCCCTACACAGGGACTCTGGAAAGTCACGTCCAGTGGAACAAACACTGTTCGACGTCAGGTGAGCCAGCACTTGTCGTTTACGAACGGAAAGGCAATGGCAGCCGAGGACAGGGCACTACCAATGCCTACAAAGCGAACCATCGGAAGGAGGCAGCGAATCATACAGCTCGCCAACAAGGTAATCAGAACTCCACCATACAAAACAGCATTTGGGATTCGAGGACAAGTGCGCTCGACCCTGTGGGCGGACGCATCAGACAGGCCCGTCTTCGAAAGCCCTCAATAACACATTTCGGCAAATTCATTGAAAAACACAATCTCAATCGGTACCGTTCCAGCAGTGCTTTCAGCTACGAACTGGCTGGCCGGAAAATGAGTGAGAAGGCGGCTGTAGCCTGCCCGCTGAAGGCATCTTGTCCGAAACCTCCTCCGCTAAATCCTGAGCGTCCACTCATGGCTGACGTCCAAGTCCGCCTGTTGCCCGCGACGAAGTTGTTAAAGGTGACGCTACTGCGTCAGGGGCGGCTGCGTGCAATGGGTCAAGCTCTCGATATCGACGATCCCAGCCTTCCGGACGCTGCTGTACGTTCCTACATGAGTCGTCTTTCCAGTCACATGAGCCGCATCAGAGGCTACATCTGCACCAGCGCCTATTTGGATCAGTCAAATAAGAATGGACAATTTCCCCTACGCACTGGACGCTCAAACACAACTGGAAGAAGTTAGGATTTGCGTCATATGTGAAAACTTGCCGGTAAACATGAAATGCGCTGTCAAGGCCAGCCTGCGCAACCTTGGTAATGGACATGTTTTCTGAAAGAAATCATTACTGTCCGGATTATTTTGTCTACAGACGACGACGTCTTGCTCCCTGCGTATTGACCCCATTGGGTTCCCTCATCGCCTTCCCTAAGGGACTGGATATCCCCTCAGCTAATTCCTGACCCTAACGTGATCAGACATTTGTGAAATGGAGCAAGGGGCTCCTGTCGTTTTGGAGACTGTTCATTTACCTCTTGTTTTGTTTTCTGACTTCAACACACGGTCAGATACACTCACACACCGTCTTGATATGGTCATCAAGGGATCTTGGTGTATTTTGTGTGCTTCCAAAAGAATTGCGCAACGGTACTGTTCCTTGTAGATTACACACACGCACATCCAATACAAAAACACGCTTACATTATACACCTGTTGTGCGTGCAGGATAAATTACACACGGCCGTGGTTTTATCCAAACGATCGACTACCACAAACGACTAAAATTGTGATTATGTGATTAGTGGGAAATATCTTATGCGTCAGCGTAATAGGTAACAGTCGCGACAAGGAAAACGCAGAAATGCGTGCCCGGAGTCGGTACATGCATACATGCAGATCTCTTCCTCTGTTTATTAGCCGGGAAATACGTTGAGTAATTCATATACTGAGCAGATACATGGGCATCCGTGACTGCCTGTCTTCAAATACCGTGTTCGCATTGAACATTCATCGTGAGAAAACACATGGTGCGGTGTAATTTAGTTGCCCGTTAGCAACTTAGCCTTCAGATACGACCAGCTGACTTGTGTAATAGTCTCAGGGAGGAAAACCCAAGGTTATCCAAGAAAGTCGTGTTTATTTTCAAGATTATTTGTTTAAAGGGTCTAAAATGCCGTCTTTTCAGCGGCAAGCAGTTTGCCTGGAGGCATCAACGGGAAACGGTACTAGAAGGGGCACGCACTTCCCTGTCATGTCCTCCGGAATTTAAACATGATAGATGCGAGGTAATGTGTTTTTTGGAAAAAAATTCCATATGGTGATAGCTTGTGTGGTTTCGAAGTACGGTTGTCAACAAGGCGACGGAGGTTGGGGCGACCATCGCCGTTCAAAGTGTCGTAGTCAGGTAATTAAGTTCAAACCCACTAAGAGGAGATCTGGAATTTGGAACTGAGTCAACACTCTTGACGAACCGAAGATCCTCACTTTCTTCCTTGTGACAAGTGCCATAAACAGTTAAGCAGTTGGCTTTTAAAATTAAGTATGACTTAGCGACGCGGTACCGCCTTTGAACTTGCTTATTACGCAAAAGTAGGAGGATTGGAATAATCAGAAGAAAAGGTAGCGAGCGAACGTTGCT